AACCAAGGAAACGTGAAAAAGATTAACCCAGTCACTTTGTTTTGGGAAGCCTTTTTCTGCAAGCGTCTGAAAAAACGAGCGCGTCTGATTTCGCTCCCTTTGTGACGTGGCAAAGGGATCTCATTATAATATTACCGCCCCTTCATCTGTAAGTTTACACCCAAGGCGCCGTCATTGTGTTTTCACAAGAGACAACGGTGTAGCAGCTCTAATGCCATGATGAAAGTTTGAGCAAAACACACTAACTGTTCTGTGTTTAGATGCACAGGCGAGCACAGAACATATGTGCTGACTGAACTATAGTTCCTGTCACCTTCTGTTTGGTTTGCACAGTCACGGTTTATAAGGATGAGGCTTTAAACAGGACTTCAGCATCTTCACACACCAGCACTGAATGGAAATGGAAGCTGTCACAAACACTGATGAAGAACAGGACGATGACATCTTAAATGAAAATGAATCAAGAGATATTGACGAAAGAACTGATGATCAGAAAGATGAAGATCTGGAAAACACAACAGAAGAGCTGGAAACGAAAATGGAAGATCTGGAAATAACGTTGACAAATGTGGAAAAAAACAAAATGAAAGCTGAACAAAACAAAGAAAAAGGTCACAGAAATAAAAGAAAAGCTAGAACCAGAAAAAGACCTAGAAAAAACAGAAGCAGAGCTGGAGGAAAAGCAGAAGATCTGGAAGAAAAGGATCACATTTCTGGAAATTATTGGTAAGACAGCAATGCTTTCATCTTAAAACTACCTTCATCTTCAGTCTAGGTCATTTATGTGCTAACTAACCTCAACATAACTTCAGTCATGAAGTAACAAAATGTTGTAATACATACATTTTTATCCATGCTATGTTTATGTGTATGTAGGGGTTGAATTTCCTCATCTAATAACAGCTGCATGTTCTGTTTTCTGAATATTTTCATGTATGTTTACTCTTTAATAATAGACATTTGTGATCATGAATATAACAGCAGTTTATTTGTTTCGTTTCTTCCACACAGAGATGATGTTTACAACCCTTGAAGACCACAAGATAACGCTTGACCAGATATATACAGACTAGTTAAAACAGACCAAATATTTATTTATTGTATTATTGTATTATATTTCTCTAAATCTGTCACACAGCTGTCACACTTTATGCTCCAGTGAATATTTCTACTGTGCTTATTATTGAAAATCAATTTATGTATGAACACTTACCTTAATAAAATCTTGAAAAAAATATATATAATAGACAGTTTTATTGTTATTTTATTGTTGTTATGCTGTTACACACATTAGCTTCTTGTGTCACTGTATGGGGTAAGATGTCACATGAAGCTGCCATTAAACTATTATAATGTTAAATAAAATCACACACACACACACACACACTCTCGCAACGTCCAGCCCAGAGAGCCCGGAGGCTCACAAATACCCGACCACCCACCGACCCACTCCTGCCTCCTTCACCGCTGTCATCTGGCAGCCCTTCTGCTCGCCCTCAGCCCACCATCTGTATGGTGCGAGCTCCGTGGATCTGCCATCCTCCATCGTTACAGTGGCTGGAGAATCCCTGGCCTCCGCCTCCAGCCTCTAAGCCCCGGACTCCACATCGGCCCATCGACCCAGCGGCTTAGCTCCCTCCTCTCCGCCGTGGCCCATCAGTCCACTGGATCCACCAGGCTCCCTTGTCCCTCCGGCTCCACCTTGGTCTGTCGTCGACCATCCTGCGCCTTGGGACTCCACTCCTCTAGCTGCGCCTCGTCCCTCTGTCCCTCCGTCCCTCCGTCTCTGTCAGGCTCCTCCTTCCCTTCGGCTCCTCCTCAGTCCTCTGTCGCTCCAGCTACACTGCATCCTTCCGTATCCCCGCCTCCGCCTCGGTCGCCGGCGCCATCTGCTCTGACTTGGCCCTCTGGATCCTCCACATCACCCTGGCTCATCAGCTCTCTGTCTCCACCTCAGGCTCCTTCGTCACCTGCTCTGCCGCCATTGGTCGGCCCCCTGGAGTCGTCGGCCCTTCCTCCTCCATGGCTCCTCCCTCCGTCGGCTCCACCATGGGTCGCCATTATGGCTGTGGCCTGGGTCCCACCTGGCGCCGCATGCTATAAGTCCCTCCTGTCGTCTCCCTGGCTCCTCCCTCTGTCTGATCCGCCCTGGCTCCTCCTGTTTCCTCATTGGCTCCTCCCTTCGTCACCTCTCTGGACTCTGTCTGCCGGCCCCCTCCCGGGTGTCCGTCCTCCTCCTGAGCCTCCTCCCAATTTCC